TTTTTCACACTAGATCTTGGGACATGCATTTCAATAACTGAAAATATCTTATTGTACAATATATCACAAGCATGGTTTACATCTTCAGTGCTATTAATCTCATCCCAAGTTAGCGATTGCATTGCTGTGTACATACCTGAGAATTTTGCTTTACGATAATTGTATCTGGATAGCAGTTTATCATTTACAAATTTGCAGTCGTTATTAATCAAACAGTCTACTTCTATTGACAAACAAGGGTGATAACTATCCTCTTTTACTAAAGGTTGATCATGGTGACTGACGGTAACATTGACACCACGTACTTCAACGATCTGTGCACGGTTCTGTTTAGTTTTCCATTTATACAATCTATTGATTTTCCTAACTATATCTTCATCACTGTCAATTTCATATGTGTGCTGATGACTTTCAAATTTATTATTCTTTCAATTTTGTATCTGAACAACGCTACAGATAAAATTAACTCAAATTTTGAAATTTCGCGTGATTGGACTTGTAATAGGTAACTGTTTTCTTTAAATCGTTAAAAACTATTTTAGTTACTGTAGGTACACCAATAAAATAAAGGCAATTTCTTCTGTAGGAGTAGTTAACAGTCTTGGGTTTGAGAATCAGCTAAAATTTACTGACTATATATGTCAAACTGTATTTAATGCATTTAAAATGATTGATCCTTATAAAAATCTTCTGGACACTCGCTCCAGGCGGCTACTGAGTAATGCTTTGTTACTTTTGCAATCTACTGTGAACGTATTGTTAACTGCATTCACTAATTTCATTAATACATGTTTTAGCTTTGGAAATTTTACTGATTCCTTCAAAGTGAGTAGAATTATACCAGTCTTCAAGAAAGATGACCCTACTAATATGGATAACTACAGACCCATTAACATTGTCCCAATTTTTGGTAAAATATTTGAAATTTTGATCAAAACAAAGTCTTGAACATTAATTATTATGAACATAGTATGATTACACTAAATATTAATAGCAAAACTTGAGTTTTATGGAATTAGAGGAGTGCCACTTGACTTACTTGCATCCTACCTCACTGGTAGAAAATAGTGTCTCTGTGAATAATAGTCACTCGAATACCTTAAAAGTTAGTTATGGAGTGCCTCAAGGCTCCGTATTAGGGGCCCTTCTTTTTATTATTTACACTAACGATTTTTATAACTGTATCAAGAATAATACCGAGCTATAACAGAGACAGCATTAAATAGTGCCAACGTTTGATTTGTCTCTACTTCTTTAAAGCTCAACAGATCTGAAACTCAGCAACTTCAGGTATCCCTAAGTAACTCCACCAGCATCAGTTGTGTTAAATTACTAGGCATAATTATTGCTGCAAGTATAACATGGAGTGAATATATAAAAAATTTGGCAGGTAAACTATCGTCAGTCCTATTCCTATACACAATATTAAGGACACTATTAACTTTGAAGCGCTAAAGTCTGGTTACTACGGTTTATTTTATTCAAACATTACCTATGCTGTACTTCTTCCATCATTATTTTATTATTTTTTGCCTACAAAAAAGAGTTGTACGTACTATTTTGGGCCTAGATTTACCGTGAAGATCGTTGCCTTTTTTTATTAGACATCCGCTTGCATCCGCGCGGCCGTTGAGTCAGACTACATACGAGAAGCAACGCGTACATACTAGAAGACGCATAGACGTCGTACCGGGGCGGCGTATGGGCTTCCACGAGAACTATATATAACACCGTTTGTATAAAATTTACACTGGATAAAAATCCTTGAAAGATATTTTCGTCATTCCGTAAAACTTATTATAAAAGTTCAACTTCATCATGAGTCTCTTACCTGCATAATAAAATCGTACTTCGTAGCTCTGTGCATGACAGAAAACGGCGACAAGTGGATTTGATTGTTGATATACGTACCTCCTCACTTCTTGAGTTTATATAAATCGTTATTTTTATATTTAACTGCGTATATCATAAATAACATTATTAACGTCATTATTTAATTTTTAGTTTATAATACGTATTCGCGTATATCTTCAATATTTTACACTTTATACTTATTTCAATGTCTAATTTATTTATTTACTTAGAGACAGATTGTAAATCAGTACTACTGAATCTGTAGTCCTTTTGAGTATGCACAATTTATTATTTATTATTTTTACTGTTATTGCTTTTTTAATTGTTTCATGGTACTCAGTAAAAGTTATTATTATCATTAATAAGAAACCCTTTATTTGCTAATAATACAACATTATTATACTTATGGTCGTAAAATGTAACAGGCTATTTTTCCACAAATGATTATCGCGAAGAGTTTCTCGGCGATTTAACACTCACCCTTGTAAATAATTCATCAGCTTTGGTTGTAGCTTATACGATAATGCTTGAAAACATAATTTTTCCAGAAGATGTATTTATCGTCGTGGCGACAGTAACCAACTTTTTTTACTTAAATTAAGATAAAATCCATATTGTTCTGTAGCTGTTGGAAAATGATGTTTTTAGCCGTTTGACCTTTAATGTATGAACTGCTTCTGGATCAGAAAGAAATCGTATACAAAGGTGAAATTTTTCAATTATCGTTTTTGCAAAAAAGTGAATACCTTTTTATGCCAAAGCTTGAGTAACACCAATGTTTAATGGATATTAATTAATTTAATATTTTATTTAAGTTGTACCATTTTCTTTGCAGCTTCATCACAAGCGTTGTTGTTTTATTTTTCTACAAAAGTGAAAATGTGTACGCTTTCTTTAAAGTTAAATTTCGATTCATATTCTTATAATCGTATCAGTAACGCAAACAAAATTACTTTGTCTGCAAGCTAATTCACTTTATATCAACAATTAAAAAAAAAAAAACATTTTTCAGTAACTACCGAACTGGAGGAATTAGCCCAAAAATTTACACACTTTAATCAATTTCCACAGCTGGTTAATAGAGGTTTAAGTGGAAATTTGTATTTCTAGACCTGTACATTCAACGAGGCTTTAATAAAAACTTCTTTGACGTATGATAGTTAGCGGTTAACAATGTGTTTTTCTCACCTTTTAGCCAGTGCGACTCTATTTAAAGTGTCTCAAGCACGCATATTGATTAAATTTCGTTACAATGTTTTAAATTGTATGTCACCTTTAGAACATTATTGGATTATTGAAACACGAAACAAATAAAAGTTTGTTCAAGTTTTATTAATAAACTTAAATTTTACAATATATTAGTTTCAGCATATGTGGATTCATCCACAAATATCGATAGGATTCCATCATGGCTGTTTCTTGTCGTTGTGCCTTTCTTCTTGAAATGTTGAAAAAAAAATAACATCAACAACCCCTATTCTAATCTTCTTATTTTAATTTTTTGTAATATACTCGTATATTTGATTATCATATATTTTTCTGTACAACCAGTTTTATTCTAAACACCTAACCGCTCATCCCTTGTTTTAATTTTGTAAAAATTTTAGTCCTAAATTGATGCAAGACACTGCATGTTCAACGTTAAAAGTTGTTGTACTTAAACAAATTTAAGAAAGTTAGGAAGAGTTGAATAAAAAATAGGAGTATGTATTTAAATTATGTTAATATTTATTAAACACGCAATCTTTAGATACATTTTTTTATTGAAAATAATTTGACCAAGTAACATCGCAAATTGTGTTGTATTGTACAAGAATTATAAGATTTTTTTAAGAAAAAAACAGCACAGGTAAAGCTTTGTAGATTTTTCAATTTTTATTTATAAAATCTCACAAGATGTACTGATTTTTACGTAGGTTTTTAACTCATTAAAATTTTGTGAACTTATTAATTTTTTTTGTCGTTATTCACATGCACTACTGATTTGACTAAACTTTCACCTCGTCGTTGTTAAATTCTCAAATATCGTGTAGATTTTCCTCAACATTTTTTTTCTGCGTTTAGACGGAACGTGTCAAACGAAATCTTCCGTTCATCGTTTGATACGAGATCCATTCCATCGTGTCACAAATCCGATTGCTTTGAAACATTTAAACTGATGCCTATCCCTTTTTATTATTATTGTAGAAAGGGAGATATTTCTCTTCACCCACTATCGTCCCACTATCAATCACAAGACTTGTGAAAAGTCTGCAAATTGTCGAGATAAAATACCGGAAGCCGCCTAATGCTTATAATAAATATGAAAACTGACAATTGTTTAAAAATTCGTTAATGCCGTAAAATACTGCAAAACATTAGCAATCCGTCTGTGAAAAAAGTGTAACGTTTTTCATTTTTTTTTGTATACGGAGGGTAAGTTTTTTTCAATCCTCTAGAACCGTGAAAAAACTGTCATAGGATTTTTCTTCACGCACTTAAAAAAAAAATGTGTCGACGCGTTGTCGTTGTTATGACGATTGATTAACACATTTATCAGAAATTAGAACGCATCGAAAAATTTTGTAATTTAGTTCTTATTTGAGTGCTTTGTATTAGGTTCCACGGTGTGTTCGCACAATGGAATCAGATACCGACGCGAATTTCTCTTTTACCCCTGAATAAATTGTCAAGGAGGCAAGTATGATCACATTGAATCTATTGCCGGAAAAACCCAAGGGCTAATATTTAAAAATATACGACTTATTTGTGAAATGGGGAGTTGAAAGAAAAGCCTGTAGTTTTATTGAAACATGCTGCAGTTCTTGATTTTTATTACGAACGTGAAAAAATGTTTGTATGCAATTCGTGAGTAAAGTAACTTTTTTCCCCTAGGGGTATTTGTACACTTGCCTTGGGCTCATGCGGCAAATTGTCCTTTAAAAAAAAACCCAAATTGAATGCTTTAATAGAAGTGGTATAGCTTATGTTTTCAGGATTGGCGGTCATTACAAATGCCATTGCCAAATAATAAATAAAATAAATTTTAAAACAACAAAATAATATTATTTCCCGAGCGTAAGCCAACGAAGTATAGTAACCGAGTCTATCGGACGAATGGCCATATGTTTTCTCGACGTTTCATGACCCCAACAGTACGAAAAAAAAATAGTCTCCCGTTAAAAAAAATATTTCAAACCTTATCAAATCGATCGAAGCATAACAAAAATAAAAAAAACATGTTTAGTTGATATTTTAATAATATTCACCACTCCCATTCAAACAAATAAACCATTCAAGCATTTAACCCTGTCCAGGAACACCCCCCTGTCCTCCCGCACCGAAATTTCCTTGAGCATTTCCACCAAATCCTCCAGTTCCACTAGGACCACCTCCGGATGCTCCCCCAGATGCTCCTCCACTAAAACCTCCGCTGAATCCACCTTGTCCACCACCAGAACCGCCAGGTGGTCCCCCAGATTGTTGTTGGGCCAATGCAAGATTAACCAACTAAATTATTTAAATAAAAACAACTGCTTTTATATATCTAATAGAACTCACCAATAAAGCTGCTAAAACAACGAACACTGAGAAGAGACGCAAGTTTTTCATTTTGGCGTTTGATGTTGTTTAACACTTGTGGACGCTTTTATATGTTGCAAAAACCATGGACCTTCATCTGACGACAAAAATTATGTGACCGAAATTGTGTAAAAAGTTAATTCTGTCAAATTGGGACAATTAGGTGAGCAATGCGTTGTGCGAGAAGAGCAAAAAATGCATAAAATTACAGATTTCACACAATACGGTTTTCATTTTATCTGTTTACTATTGCGTTAATTTTAAGTATTATAAATCATATGACATGACCAAGGTTAAATAGGCGCATTACCAAAATTGTTTAAATTGTAGTTTACCGTCTTTTTTATTATTTTGTTATTTAACACCACTTATTTTGGATAAATATCTTTTAACAAAGTTTATCTTAACAAAACATGTTTTTTAAGCCTGGATTGCGAATCAGACACAATTTTCCAGCTAATGCTACCAAATATTCAACGGTCAAATATGCTCTGAAATGAAACATGGACGAAAGCAGTCATTGCATGCTAAAATTTTCTGCTTGCTGTGCAAACCTGAGTTCTTCACCTCAGGAAAACTTGCCTTGACTTTATGTTTAATTAGTGCTTTCATAAATAATGGCACATTTTGATTATTTAATATATTTTAAGCTCAAAGATATTTGCACAACGTTTAAATCAAACAAGGATTGAAGCTTGGTGAGAAAATTATGTGTGTACAATACAGAGTATACATAGATAGTTAAAAACTTGAAAAAATACACGCACATGTCTCAAAAAAAAATGGTTTAATGTTAGACAGGTTTAGACACAAGTGCTCTTTCCCCTGAAGTATAGAAACACATAACCGGTGTGTAAGTGATTCTAAAAAAATATGAAAGTATTGAAAAGCAACAAATACAGACTGATAATATATATTTTGTAAAATTCGGTGGTTAATTGTTTAAGTTTTCCATATTCATTTGGATTTGGAAAAGTAAACTTTTTCCTAACTAGACTTGATCAAGGTTTCAGCAACCTGGTGAGGAATGGACAGGCAGACATTGGATATAATGATACCCGGGGCTGGGTTTATTAATCGGCGCATATTAATTATCTTTTTTTTTGTTTTGTTTATTGTTTATTGTTACTTAATTGCCAACAGAAAAATCCAAATAGGTAATTTACAAAGTAATTTAGACCTAAAACTAATGAGATATAGTTAATAAAAATTAATCTAATTTAAGCAATGCAAATTGTACCTTAAAAACAAACAGAAATAATAAAACTCAATAAATATGATTACAGGATAACATTTTTCTAAAGAGATTCAAATTACAATTAAATATATCGATAGATGAAGGTAAGTCATTAATTAGTCTTGCAATTCTCATACAAGGGGAGCGAATTCCATAATTAGTTCTTTGAAGCTCAATAGAAAATAAATCATTACCTCTAGTATTATAATTAGGAACTCGAAAGTTAAAAAAATATATTAAAATTGGACAATCAAATTGATTGTGCAAAACTTTATAACCGTAAATTAACATAAATTTATTCGTACGAAATTCAAGTGATTCAATCCTAGCAACTAAGTTCGATCCTCATAAGAATATTTATTTTTGTCTATTTTAAGCTTAAATAAAATGAAATTAACCAACTTTCTTTGTATCTCTTCAATACGCTGAACTCCATTTCTGTAATATGGATTCCAAATGACATAGCCATATTCAAGAAAAGACCTAACTAACGAATGAAATAATTTTATGCTTATCGTTACATTATTAAAATGTTTACGCTGCCTTTTTATAAATCCAGTTAATCTATACGCTCTTTTTATGATATTGTCAATATGAAAATTATATTTAAGTAGAGGATCCAAAATAATACTTAGGTCCGAAATGGTTGCAACCAATATAATACCGATATTCAAGGGGCTGTATTAACCATGCGAAAGATATAATTTTACACTTATTTATATTTAATGACATGTCGTTATCCTTACACCAATTATTTAATGAATCAATGTCTTTTTGAAAATTAATAGCATCATTATTGTTCGTTATTTGTAAAAAGAGTTTTAAATCATCTGCAAATAATAAACACTTTGAATATTTGAAAAAATGAACAATATCATTTATAAATAAGAGAAATGATAGGAATAATATTGGGCCTAAATGGCTCCCTTGGGGAACACCGGATGTTACCTGGATTTCTTCTGATAAAAAGCCCTTAAGATTGACTTTTTGGATACGACGAATTAAGTGTGAATAAGTTAACCATTTAAAAATATTTCCGATTATACCGCATTTCGTTAGTTTTGTTAATAATAATTTAATGTTTACTCGATCAAACGCTTTGGAGAAATCGGTATATACGGAATCAACTTGGTTATCACGTTCCAGCGCTTTGATAATAATATAGTTAGTATAAACGAAAAGATTAGTAACTGTACTACGTTGGGGCATAAAATCATGCTGGTTTGTAGTAATTGTATTTTTATACTAGCTGACCCCGTGAACTTCGTTTCACCTACAATTTAACTTTGAATCTGCAAAACCGAATGCTTGGAAATCTTTCAGATGTTTTAAACATATGATAAGCATAATAAATTTTTATTCAAAATATATTTACTATCCGCTCCAAAAAATTGATGACTTTAGCCCAAAATTTTGCCAAATGAATCCTATCTAAAATGTCCAAAATAGGATGAGACTGTACTTGCGATTTATCATTCCATTCATATTGTTTAGTTTTGCTTATAGGGGGTGTCTCAAAAAAATTAATCACTGAGTCAATTTATTTTATTGACTGAATCAAGAATTGCAAAACTGAATTTTGGAATATTACAGACGTTTTGAAGTTACTGTATGGCATGGTAGCTTTTTAATCGAAATATATCTGTATATCAAGCCCAAAAACTTGATGACGTCATCTCAAAATTTTGCCGAATAAATCCTATCTAAAATGTGCAAAATATCATCGATATATATACGTAATTTATCATTGCAATCATATTTTTTTGATGTGCTTTTACAGTGACTCAAAAAAATGTATGGATCAGTCAATTTATTTTAGAGAATAACTCAAGAGTTGCAGAAATGAATACTTTGAGATCTTGCAGACGTTTTAAAGTTATTGTAAGCATGGTAAATTCTTAAGAATATTTATTTATTTCCCCCAAAAAATTGATGGAACGGCTCAGTCGATTTTCGCAGATAATTTTGGGAATACAATACAGTTATTTTTATAATTATTCACTGCACCAATCCAAGGTGGTATACGTGTTGATCGTAAATGTTGATTAGATCATCACAAAATTGTGTGAAGAAAAGACTCAACTTGAAAATGCTGAATATGTTCCATTATAAGTACTTTTAGTGCGAAGAGAGTTCTGTCGAAACAACGTTCGATCAATTTTTGACAATGGTTGATATAAATAAAACTCAGTAGATGCTCATACTCGAAATACGAAGTATTTACTCGAATATTAACCCAAAATATTTCTAGTTTTTCTAGATGGTGGTAATACTTCAGTCGGTAACAGTTGATGCTCAAGTAGCGTCTCGATACAACAAAAAAGGAAAACAGTGACAGTGTTCAACCATCAAGGCAAAAATCGAGTAACCAAAATATAAGTTAGTATGGAGTAGACACCTTGAGATGGGAATCTCTATGGCCAGTGTTAGAAAAAACGCACTGCACAATTTATGCATAAATAAAAGTTAATTACCTGAAAAGTTCTCCATATTCCCGCTCCTAATGTGTTTTTTAAATGCACCTTTGATGCTTTGATTGCGGTTTGCACATGAGGTAGGTCGTTGCACATTTGATTGACTTCGTGGACCTATGTCAGCTTGTCGTCTTCTCGGCATTGTAATGAACTTCATAAAATGAGACAGAATTATTTTCACAGTCAATCAAATCTGTAAATTTTGTCTTGAGAATGTTAAAATATTGAAAACTTCAAATTAAATCCTCGAATAACGGTAAAGTTTGAGGTTTTGTCGAAACCAACAAAGTGAAAATAGGTAAATAGAATGGTAGATCAAAATTAATAAAAAACTTTCGCAATGTGTAACTAAATTTACTTTAACCAAGACTTTTCTTAAAATAAACGACGTTTTTTTTACGAAAAAACAAAAAACGATTTGAAATACAATGTACTTTTCACAATCGCACGGAAGAAATAGTTTTGTATGATACGTCAGTTAGACGACAGGTCCGTCAGGAACGCCAACTATTGACATTAATTCGAAGTGGCGATTCCTAGAGACCCCAGATAGACTTTTTTTCTTAATATACTTAGGCATCTTTTCACAAAAAGAAACTTAAAACATGATGGTACATTTTTGCAAGGAAATATGGATTTTGCAATTATGGGGCGGAGCCTAATTGCAAAATTGATATTTCCTTCTACAAATTTTCCATTTGAAACATATTTTAAGTTTCACGTTGTGAAAAGAAGTCTACACATATTAAAACAAAAAGGCAAAATGTAAGCCCGCCCACCCACCCTGTGTCAATTGTGATAATTTTTTTTTATTCAGCGTGAACCAAGGGGGCGAATTTTAACTGCAAAACACTTATTTCTTTACAAGAAATGAAAAACATATTTTTGAGTATCGTGTTGTTCAAAGAATACTATGTACATTAAGAAAAAAATGCACCCACCCCATCTCAATTGTGATGATTCTTTTTATCCTTACAAAACTTAAAACACGTTTAAAATGGTAAATTTTTGGTAAGGAAATCTGGATTTTAGAATTAAGCTCCGCCCCTCGGCTTACGACGAATAAAAAAAATCATCAGAATTGAGACAGGGCGGGTGGATGGGACTTATATTTTGGCTTTTTTTTCTTAATATACATAGTCAACTTTTCACAACAGGGAACTTAGAACATGGTTAAAATGGTACTCCCTACATTTTTTCAACGAAATATGGATTTTGTAATTATGGGGCGGAGCCTAATTGCAAAAATCCAAAAAATCGAAAATATCCCAAAAGTCTAATGAAGAAAATAATCCGAAATCAGAAGAATCCGAATAATCCGAATAATTCGAAGAATCCGAAGAATCCAAAGAATCGGAAGAATCCAAAAAATCCGGAGAAACCGCAAAGTCCGGAAAGTCTAAAAAGTCCAAAGAGTCCAAAAAAATCCATGAAAAATTCAAGAAATGCAAGAAACCCCAAAAACCCCAAGAACCCCAATAATCCAAAAAATCCAAGAGACAAAAAACTCAAGAATTCCAATAATTCCAGAAATCGAAAATATTCCAAAAATCCAAAGAAAAAAAATCCGAAGTATCGAAAACCGAAGAATCCGAGGAATCCGAAGAATTCGAAGAATCCGAAGAATTCAAAGTATCCGGAAAAAGCGCAAAGTCCGGAATGTCCAAAAAATCCAAAAAGTCCAAAAATATTCAAAAAATCCAAGAAATACAAGAAACCCAAGAACCTCAAAAATTCCAATATTCCAAAAAATCCAAGAAATCCAAAAAACTCAAGACATCAATATATCCAAAAATCCAAAAAAAAAAAAACCCAAAACATTAAAAAAAATGGAAAACATCCCAAAAGTCCAAGAAAATAATTCGAAGAATCCGAAGAATCCAAAGAATCTGGAGAAACCTTAAAGTCCGGAAAGTCCAAAAAGTGCAAAGAGTCCAAAAAAATCCAAGAAAAATTCAAGAAATACAAGAAACCCCAAAGTATATCTAGGGACACTTGCGATTCCCATACAAAATTTTTAAATTTTTTTTGTCTTTTAGCTGTCTTATTTTTTATAAATTTTCTTACATATAAACCTTGTCCTGACAATAAGGAACACATAAAAAAAAGAATCATCCAATTCGGTGCAGTCGTTCTGAAGTTATGCGCGTACATACATTTCGGCGATTCATTTTTATTTATATAGATGCATAGATGCGTTATTATTTTAGAACAAATTTCATTACCATAAAAAACGTAATACTGAGTCGACCTTAAAAGATAGACATATGCTGTCGGGGACTTTTCTTTAGAACTTTTAGAGGGGAACAGTTTCATCATACATGATTTTTAAGTAACTTTAACCGTTTAAGCACCGTAAGCAACGGAAGCTGTCAAAGGAGGACTAATTTTCCTTTTTCATTGCTACTTCGCTCCTATTGATCGCAGCGTGATGTTATATAGCCTATATGTAGATACGATAAGTGGATTATCCAACACAAAAAGATTTTTTCAATTCGAACCAGTAGTTTCTGAAACTAGCGCGTTCAACCAAACAAACTCTTCAGCTTTATAATATAAGTATAGATATGGTTAAGAAACTATCAGTGATAATTGACTCTAACACTTTACACAAAAGTGAGATGGAACAAATTGGTCTGTAATTACACACATCATTTTTTGTACCAGATTTAAATAATGGCAAAATATATAAGACATTTTCTATTTATCAGGGCAAATACTACTTTTTAAAGATGACTGACAGAGGAGAGTGATAGGAACTGTAATAGTTAGACTACAAAGTTTTAAAAAATACAGTGGAATACCATCCGGACCAGGATTAGTGGTATTAGATAATAAAGATAATTTATTAAAGACTAGGTCAAACGAAATTTCACGGAATGGGACTATTTGGCGCGACCGACTTGGCGCGGGCAAGTTGGCGCGGCTGACTTGCACGAGACATTTTGGCGCAAAGCCAACTTGGCGCAGGGACACTTTGGTGCAAGCCATCTTGGCGCGAACCATCTTGGCGCAAGCCATCTTGGCGCGAGTAAGTCGATGTATAATATAAAAAATATTTATTGTTCGTACTGTGGTTGGCACCCTATTAGTTACGCCAAGTGTAGGCAACTAAATACACACGCAATTTCACTCGCACAAATTACAATAACTAAATGATCCACGGAGCAAGAATGTCCACGTTTAGGAGTATATTTGTAAGGGAGCGCAGGGCGCGAAGCGCCCGTGTGTTTTTTAAAAAGTCGACATTACCTCTCCACGCGTTGGTGACTATAAAAAGTTAGGTTGCTGCAATATATATATATATATATATATATATTATATATATAATTAGTCGTGAAATAATATTTTTTATCTTCACTTTTTAGTTCATAACCCCCCTAGTATTGAGGAATATGTGATGGCAGAATATGAACAGATTGTCCCAGGACCTTCGGGAAGTAATCAACAAGAAGGCGTGGAGGAAATAGAGACGGACTGGACTGCATATTGTCCAAAAAAACTCTCTCAACAAACTTCCAAAAAATTAAGGAGGAAAAGTCGATGTAAGTTGCATTGTTTTTAAAGTCCACAAAATGAATTCTGTTAATTTTTCAGTTGGAGTTAACCAAGGAAAAAAAGTTTATTCTAATCCTGTCATTGAGGCGAAACTTGAGTTCATCAAGCTGCAAAAACAAAAGTTTTTGGAAGAACATCAGTTAAAAATGGCGATATTGAAAACGGAGATAAGATTGAAGCAAAGACAATTGCGTAATTTTAAACAATAAAACAAAAATGCAGTCACTAGAGTAGTTTTATTATGAACATCAAGTACAACACTAAACAATTAAAAAAACGTTAAGCAAATCATGTGAAACAATAAAAACAATTAAAAAGTTATATACCTTACAGTGCAAATGTAAATTAATACTACATATTAACATTTTAGAAACGTGCAAAATAGTTATTTATTAAATTCAAACGAGATTGGTTGTTTAAATTGTAATTTAAACCAACTGCCTGTACAGCTAATAATTCTTCATCAACATTGTTTACAATGTTTATTGCTGCTTCTTGTTCAGAGTTTACAGCTGGTAAGATGTCATTTTCATTTACTGCTATATTGTGAAGTACTGCTGTAGCGACAGTAAGTGCTTGAACGGTGTCTAACTTTAATCGCAACCCCATTGGCAGACACGGAAATCTCCTTTTCCACACCCCGTAACTTCTTTCGACGACATTCCTGGTTCTAATGAGTGACTCGTTGTATAAATTTTCTGCATTCGAATTTCTATTTAATAGTGGGGTGACAGATATTTTTTAACTGGATAACCACTATCACCCACCAATACACTATCTCTAAATTGGCCCATTTCAAATCTTGCACATAGTGCAGAGTTCCGGAATATATGTGCATCATGTGCAGATCCTGGCCAACGTGACACAATGTCCAAAATTTTTAAATTAGTGTCTGACACCGTCTGAACGTTCAACGAAAAAAACTGTTTCCGATTTCTAAAAATCTCTGCATTATCTCCACCAGGCGACTGTATTTTTACATAGCTGCAGTCAATAGCTCCTATACATCGTGGAAATCTTGCAATATTGAAGAACTGTTGCCGACAAGTTAAAATTTCTTGGTAGGTTTGTGGCATTTTTATGTACCGATGCCTTAAATTTGCTAATGCCACGGTTACTCTTTTTACGGTCCTACTCGCTGTCGACTTGTGTACACCACAAAAGTCACCAGCTACACTTAAAAATGAGCCGGTTGCTAAAAACCTTAGGGTCAGAAGTACCTGGTTTTCGGCTGATAAACAGTCATTTCTATTAAACAAAAAGGATATTAATATTTTGATTTGTTAAAAATTAATTTTTACAAAATTACCTTTCAGTAGGATGTGTAATTAATTCCTCTATTTCCTCTATCAAATTTTCCGTCGTTCTTTTCGATAATCGGAATCTTGCAATGAAGTCAGTTTCATCCCATTCTTCACGATGATTTGGTCGATTCCGTATTATTTTTGGCCGTCTGGGAAATTGTTCTTCGTCACTACTATATGCATTAATGTCAAAATCCATAAGGTAATCCATTACAAGTATAAAAGTAAAGAAGATACTCCAACACAAATTACACACAGAATTTACAAGCACAGAACAGTTTAAAAGGTTATGTCATCATGCGCCGACGTACAAGTTTTAGTCAATTCATTCTCCAAGTTAACCAGCAGTCGAAGTGGTGGTCAAGGGAACTAGTAGTTAAGTTCATAACCACGCTTTGTAAAACTCATTCAAAAATTTAACTTGAAGTTAACTCGAACTTGATAGTTAACTATACATTGTAAAACCGGGTTAATATCAAAAATACCGTTTTTGTAAAATCGTACTAAAATGAAGTCATTTATACAATAATTTGCGGGAGTAATTAGTGCCTTTTGTGCTTAGATCATATAATAAATAGATACCACCATGCCGTGTTCTTTCCCTAGGACAGCCTGTGACGACATCCTCCTGTCACACATCTCTCTCGTGCATGGAGGGATTACAATGAAGCTATCCTTGCCTGATCACTATTTGAATTTTGCGCGCCTAAATTTTAGGAAGTATGTCTGAAATAACTTCGGAAGAAAGATGTTGACAGCTTGATTTTATAAATAATTCACAGTAGATAACGAAAGGAATAGTAAATTATTGGGCAACAATTGTGATCCTTTATGATTACATCACTTAAAATAGGATCTTTGTTCTAAATTCTAAAATTGTTTTTTGTACAACAACTCGAAAGAGAGGTTAGAAGAAACATCTGTCAAAAGCGATTTGTTGTGCTGGTGCGGTACAAGGATGGAAGTGAAATAGACATATACAGATGAAATGCATATAACAAAGATGAAGATGTAGTGATCACACAAGGATAGCATTATACTACTCCCCTTGACGTAGAAAACGACAACAGATAGCTTCATGTCTAGTCACACCTTTGAGTTTGAGTATTGGTATCTATTTATTATATGATCTAAGCTTTTGTGTCTTAAAACCGAAAAAACCAAGAACTGAAATAGCTATTTTTTGAAATATGTAGTTACAACTATTGTAGCTAATAAATAATGAAAACATAAAAAAAAAATCGGTCAGACCAGGTCAGGTGAGAACAGGTCAAGTCAGGAGCAGGGACATTAATGACAACAGGACTGGCAGATTGGCTGACTCAAAAAAAAAATCATTGTATTTCAGGAGCGAGGGAAATTCTGTCAAAACAACTCGACCAATTTTTTTTTTTGGTTTTGAAGTTAACGTAGCCGTTACGTTAGACGTTACATTGAGAATTACGTCAAGTTTCGTTACGTTGTCCAGAGTTTACGATTACAACTGCAACTTTGATTATCGATTTCGCCGTTTTTGGGATTGATTTGCCTGGTTCGCTTCCTGTTTTGTTTTTAATGATTCTTAAGCGATGATCGTAGCGGTCCAGCAACACCTTAACTTCCGACCTTTCAGGAGGAGGACAAGTCGTTCGTCAAGGAAAATAGATAAGTCATCCCGTCTTTTTTGCTTTAATTTGTTGTTACTTTTTTATTGGTATTAATTTTAAGTCGGGAATGGCTTGAACAAAATTGGTAATGGTAACGGTTGCTTTAAGAGTGGTTTTCTGAATATTTTAAACTTAATATTAAATAGCATATTCATAAGGTTCAAGGACGATATATTGAACGAATGACAGTGAAACTATTTAATTATTTACTACGAAGTTAACTCCACACGCCGTTGGCTTGTTGGAGCTTGGGCTTTTCCACCGTGACGTTTGTTGAACCCACGGAACTGAAGAACTTATTATATATTTATTTTCTTATTTTCGACCGATGTTTCAACATATCCAATCCGAATTCCGGCCTGCGTGACGCTTGAAAGTATGCATATAGACCCCAGCATCTGCGAATAGTGATGCCGGGGGTATACGAAAACAATGACCAGTATAATTCGCTGGTTCAGATAATCCTAATGCAATAGCAATCTTCTTTGGGATTCTTGCAATTCTATTTATTCCTACCGGTTGCTGGGTATCTTTACCTCCCCTGCAATTAAGGAAGAATATATCATGCTTAAAGCTAATTTATAACTATTCCGGATACGCAAACGGGCCCAGATGACGCAACGGAAGAAAGTTCAACACCAGGTTTTGCTAACAGAAGCGAGTCCGAAACCGACGCAAGTTACGTTCGACCAATACGGGTGGCTATTATGCCGAAAGGATCCGAATAAATGCGATGAAAATAGAATCAAATTGCATTAGCTGATTATGATTATGCACAGCAAGCGACTTAACAACCTAAAAAGCTTAAAATTTATTATCTTTTTAGAAAAAGAAAATTTAGAAATACCTCGGGTAATAAATATTTTTCATCACATGTTCCTACCAAAAACTTTTTTAATTCTTCAATATTTAAATGCTTGCAATTTGTAAAATTCTTTTATATGTATATTTTCATTGATGTTAAACATACTTCGCAACTTTGAGTAATATACCCATAACGATGATGGGCTATGGTTTCTAGACTACAAAAACGGGAGTCCAAAAAAATATATCAGAAAATAACATTTGAATTAACTTACCAGTACCGGAAAATATCCTAGAAGAACATCTTGGTTTATCAATGAAATGCCGTTCTTCCTTTGCCAATTTTTGAATGCCTGCTACGCCTTTTTATACTTACCTGACGTTCGATTTTTCCGGAATGAAACTTTTTAATGCTTGACTGGCTGCATTTTTAACATTTTCGGGAATTTTTCCAAATTTGTTTCCAAAATTTTTTTGAATAAACAACAGTATGTAACAATGACAGGGAAACATCTCATGCAAATTCGATCAGCTCAATCTTTTCTAAGCAAATTAACTGTTCTCAATTTTTGGGTCAATGGACAGAAATCGATAAAACGTTGTACGTAAACTCGTTTCATAAAATTGACTCTTAGCTTTTCGTAAGTAGTTATATACCCCCGTAAATAGCTATTACATTACCACAAATTTTTCATGGTGATTGATTTTTTCTTAATTATCTTTATTGTCCTTGACTCTTAGTCAACTAAGATTAATGTAATGTATTTGTGATCAATACTAAATAATTATACTTCTAGGTAAAGTTAAACTTCAGACATTCGTAAGTTTACTCTGTACCTAAAGGTCTGCCTTGTTAGTTAAAATGACGAACAATACATCAAAAAAAACTAACACCCAACAGACAGCATCAGGTATGATTTTAACAGTACGTTATGTAACGTGGCTTATGATTCAAGTGAATGAAATTTCCATACGAACCGAACGCGAGTTTATAAATCATTCCGAGTAAATAATAGCCCTCATATGCGACGTTTTATCTACGACTCTTATTAGATTTTTTCAACAAATAGACTCTTACAATATTTGAACAAGTATATAATACCTACGTAGTAATTATTATAAACAACAGATATTTGAATTCCTACTTAGTTCTATTGAGAATAAAAATTAAAACTAATTAACCTCACCAGTTAAAAGATTACATTTGTGTGCCACTGATATCAAAACTAACACACCTAATTTTGAAAATTGTGTGAATTTTCCACAAAATTAACATAATATTTTCTGACGGTAGTATTTTGAGTTGATAGATTCATGCCAACATTCTTCCAATTTCTGACGGCAACCAAATTCTGTGAATGTATTGTTAAAGAGTCGTACATATAAACAATAGAAGTCTTATCATCCACTTGAAATTCAGTCACTAAAATGTCTATTTTATCTTTCCAGACGATGTTTTATCTTCTATATATTTCCTCATAATGAAAATTTATGAAAATAAATATATGGTAATGATTCAAATTTTTGTACTTGCTCTGTCAGCATCTCTTGTCTTACTTAACTCGTACTACTTCATAAAGGAGTTTAATATGAAATTCTTTAATCAATATGTCTCAGTATATTTAGGCACATTGTCGGTAAGTATAAAAACCTCAAATGTCTTTATTATAAAGTTCTTTAAATTAGTCTGGTTAGACAAATTATAATTAACAAAAGATTTAACAATCGTCAAAATTTTACTAAATTTTTATAGAGCATTTTTGTTGTGCTAGAAATCGGTAGATAATAATGGAGGACATTTTTTTTATTAAGAATTTTTTCTAGAATCTCCGCAACTGGTAGCATTGAAATTAGATGTAAATATTAACAATGTCTTTAAAAAACATAGGAAAATATTTCTTGTTTTATCTAAAGCTAAACATTTTTCTAAAATATTACCAGCATATTTTAAGAGTTAGGTTGCTAAACTATGAATGTACATTTATTTACTTTTTAAGTCATTTTAAACGCTATATGTAGCCCAGATTAAAATTCTTGGCCTTATAACTTAAGACCGAATAAATATATTGAAATTCTGTAAACTCCATTGTTATTAGCTTGAATGGGAAAGTTTAATTTAGTACATTGCAGATATGACTTATGTTTTTTTTAATGGAAGATACCTACCTAGATATTTTTAACGAATTTTGATAAATCATTCAATTACGATTGCTCCTTAAAGTATTTCACACTTTGTTTTAATCAACATTCTTTTTCAACCCCAATCAGCTATTTGACGTCGTTCGTTGCTCATATCACATCATGTTGTTTATTCTTGTATTTTTTAGAGCTTAGTTACTGGCTCAGCTCTATTGTGGAAACAATCAGCAATAAAACGTCTTGATACTGAATGTAGACCGTATACGAGATATCTAAATGACGCTACACATAAAAGAACAAAACTTATACAAAAAGAAGTCAAATATGTAACAACTTTCGTAAAAGTTCATCTAGTATTAGCAGTAATAACCGGATGTATTATTATTCCAGTTGGAAAAGAGAGAAAGCTCCAGTTTATACTCACTTTCTTGAAAGACCACCATTTGTCTATCTTGGAGATGCTTTACTATCCTATGTTTCCGATATATGCTTTACTGTCCGTTCGCTTGCCACACGGACTGTTGTATTTCGTCTCACATACAAAATTTTCTGTTTACGTATGCCTTGACTTCATACAAGAGATATGTTCTGATTATGACAACAAAGACGACAACGAATTACT